TGCTGCTGCTGCTGCTGCTGCTGCTGCTGCTGCTGCTGCTGCTAGCGGGGATTACCTGCAGCGCTGCAGCACAAAGGAAGGAAACACCCACAGCTTCTCAGAGCAGAATTAGCCACTAATGTCCTAATCTGGTCCACATGCTGCCCGCCGGCCGGCTGGCCGCGTTTCACATGCCTACAAGTGAAACTTCATTGTCGTTTCGGTGCCGTCAGCCACAGTTTGAAGCACAGAGCAGAGGAGTTCATATTTTAGCCCCACACGTTTCCCGCAGCAGATGCATCTGGTTTATTTTCGTGTCTCTGGGTTCTTCCTGTCAGACTGTAGTAGATCTCAGGTGGCATGCAGCACACAACTGATTCATGCAGACTGCTCACCAGCCGCCTGTTCTTCCTCTATTTATACACACTTCCTGTTTTTATGAGCAGTAATGCTCATTGCAACACAGAAACTGTTGTATCGGTAAAGGTTATGTAGCAAATAAAGGAGTTTAAAGCGACTTTATTTTTTAAAAAGGAGCTGAGATCAGCTGAAGAGATTTTTTAGCAGCTGTTTGCAGGTGATTCATTCAGGCGAGGAAGCAGCTGCAGGATGTGGAGCAGCTGGACTCAAACTTTTTAAAACCTTTTTCTACGTTTATTTCTGAGCTCAGAGGAAAGTAGGTTTCCTGTGTAGAAGTAGGACAGCTTGTACCTCCTGGGAACACCTCTTTATTACTGTACCTCTGTTACACTTCCTCTGCCACAGCAAGAAGTTAGTGCACCTCCTCTGGATTTATTTTTAACTCTTGACGCCCACGTGCGAACTCACGCAGCTCGACGCCGAGACTCACACTGGCTGTGAAAATGTCAGCTACCAACAGCCGTCTGCAGGCTCCTTTGACTGCATAATTTAAATGAAAGTCCTTCTATAACTTCTTCTGCACTCTGACACACTTCCTCCTTCGCCTTTGCTCTCTTCCTCCAGCAGCGCAGACAACAAGAGAGACGGCTCGGCGCTCAAACAGACCAGCAAGGTGTCCAGCTGCAGCTCGGCTCTCCGCGTCTGCCAGCGGGCCGACATCAGCAAGATTCAGGAGAAGTTCTCGTGCGCGGCGGCCGCCACGCAGGATGCCAAGAGGCCAGCGGCTAACGGGGTGCTAGCACAGATGGAGCAGGACAAGGAGACGGAGGAGGAGACGCACCACAGCGTGAGGACAGAGACTGCTGAGCTCGTAAACGGAGATTTGGAAAAAGCAGATGAGGTGGACGATCATTCAGCTTCACAGCACTCAGACAGGACCGGTGCTGAGAATGAGGATACGGAGAAAACAACAGAAACTCTACAGAAGAGTGAAGAGGGACACTCTGAGCAAAAGGTAGGTTTTGTTTTTATAAACTAAGCACAAGTAATCAGTCGTTGTGTGAGGGGGAAGCAGCCTGTTTGGGTGAAGAGCTGCTCTGTCGAACATTTCAGCTGCTGAGTTTTGCCGTAGCAACCAAACCCCCCAGGAACCTGCGGTTGTCTGAGGAGATTAAATATATCAGCTGCTCTGCCTTCTCAGGGATAAACACAACTGAGAAATCTGAGCAGAATGAGATATAAATAAACATTTAAATGACTTTCCTGTGTTTTATTCAGCATTTGCAGAAATATGAGGCGTCTCTTTCTCTGCTGCCTAAACAAAACTTTATATACTTTAACTCTTTAAGCGAGTCAGAGGATGTTGGCTCACGCTTTGAAGCTATAAGTTGTTCTAGGAAGGTTTTCCATGAGGACAATGAGTGACCAGTCTTCCAGAAGTCATGAGGTCAGACACTGATGTGGGACGAGGCTCGCAGTCTCAGCTTTAATTCTTCCCACAGGTTTCTATCAGCTTCAGGTCAGGATTTTGCAACCTGTTAAAGTTTTTGACAAGTTAAAAAGTAAAATAAAAATAAGTTATAACAATAATTATTATTTAATAAGGTTTGTAATAATAAAAAATAAAGAAAATGAAAGAAATAGCCTGTTGTTCAGTTAAAAGGTCTTGACAAGTTAAAAAAATAGTAAATTAAAGTAGAATATTTTTTAATTAAAGAGGTTTTAACTTAGTTTGTTTCTTAAAAATAAGTTAAAAAAGATGTAATATTTAAAATGGCATTCTTGACAAAAATGTTTTAACAAATATTAATAAAGAAAATAAATAAAATACAGTTTCTTTTTCATTAAAGAAGTTCTTGAAACAAGTTTGAAAATTAATAAAAATAAAAAATAGGGAAAAAACTGAATATTTTTAATAAATGGGTCTTACATTAAAATTAAAATAAATAAAAATAAAAATGTTTTTTTCTTTTAAAAAAGTTTCCCGACACAAGTTTAAAGTAATAATATAACAAAGCAAATGGAGTAGTTTTTGCAATAGAAAACAGAAAAGGGTCTGGCTTTGTGCTCCGCTGCTCCGTAACGTTGGAACAGGAAAAGCAATTCCCTGAACTGCCTGCAGGCAGCTGGAATGAGACTGAAAGCTCCAGCAAGCAGAAACCTTTTGGACAGAGTTCCTTTCACTGGAACTAACAGACTGAGACTAAGCTCTGAAGAACAGATCCTCCTTCCACCAAACTTTACACATTGCAGACAGGTTAATGCTTTCTGCATCTTAATCCATTCTGTTAAGAATCCTGCGCTCTGTCCTTGAGCTGATCCTGAAGTTATCGACTCCCAGCTCTCGTGGTTTTAGGAGACCCAGCCGTTTCCTCTTCCTTATAAAACCACCAACAGCCGCCTGCTGTTTGAGAAGCAAGGAGATTTCTGGAGCTGTTGGACAGGTGGTTCCAGTCCTGAGCTGCTCAGAGCGACTCTGGTTCCAGATGCTTCGCCTGTGATCTTTGACCTTTACTCTGGATGTTTTCATGGTCTTCATGTCAAATGTTTGACAACTCAAACAGTTTTTGTGCTGCTGCCTGATTTGACCTGCGCGATCCGTCTGCGTGTTTGGAGGCTGGATTTACACACCTGCAGCTATGAAGGCGATCGAAACGCCTGAGTTCAGAGATTCGGATCATTTTGAAGTAAGCTGTATATAATTACAGCCTTGACTCTCTGTAATGTGTTAAATATTATACTAGCTGCAGCTTCTTTGTTTTTCAAAGTGTCCCTGCTGATATTTCAGGCTCTTGGTTTTAGACCTGAATTAGTTAATCTTTTGAACAGCGCAGCGACTGTTAGCTAACTCTTTCATTACAGTCAATTCCTTTTTTACTATTTAAAACATATTTTAGTATAAAACTCGATGCAGAACTCTTTCATTTGGATCTTCTTTCTGCAGAAGACCATCGTCTCTCGAAACCAACATTTGTTTTATCGTCCTGTAGTTTGAGAGTCTCGGATTTTAGCCTGGCGTTAGCAGTGAAGTCATCAGCTGCTGTAGCTCAGCTGCTTCAAGGTTCCACATGTTGTAACTGCAGAGGTTCTGCTTGATTGGCCCATTCTCCTCTGACCTTTGACCTCAATGAGACGTTGTTCTTCCACTCAGCCTCTCTGGAAATGTTCTCATTGTCTGTAAACCTGAGATGGTTGTGGGTTAAAATCCCAGCAAAACGGCTGTTTGTAAACAACCATCATAAATTACTTATTAAAATAAGATTTTGATTTATCATTGACACTATTCATTTCAATTGATGTTTAAAAACCTTTAAAACTGTTTTTATTTGTTTGCTGCTGTTCTCCACTTGTTTCCATAAAACTGTTTCAATGAATAGCAATACATTTGAAAATATGATTCAATTCAGTTATTTTGTGCATTTTTAAACTTCTTTATGTGACTGGTGTCCTAAAGAAACGTTTCATGAACAGTATTTGTTTGTGTGGCTGTGATTGCAACTACCTAAAAAATAAGTAATAAATAATTATTATTGTCACTTTTATTGTTTTCACAATACTAACAGAAAATACTGTGATAAAACTTTAAGCTCATATCGCCCCTACATCCACTTTCATCCAGTTTCTCCTCCACTGATGCACATTCTGAACTTAAACACGTTGATTTTATACAAAATGGGGAGAAATTCAGATTTTTCACTGTTTGAACTGCAAATCTGAGCCAATCGTGGGAAAATTGTCTTTGTGATTGACTTACGAGTAAAAGGAAGAATTTCCCAGTGAATTTAAAGTAAATTTCATGTGGAGACCTTCCTGGAACCAGTAACCTCACTGGGTTTCACAGCAGAACAGACTCCATGCTACACCTACCTGGATGTGTGTGGAAGTGAAACCAGATAAGCCATTAATTTGAGCTGCCACAGTAAACAGCAGGCTTAAGTCAATTAGCCCCGTTAGCACCAAGCCAAGAGGTCAGTCAATGTTCACTGGGTTAGCGCTTGGCTCTAGAGTTAATTATGAGACAGTTTTCACTCTGAAACTGACTAAATTTGGTGTCCAGGTTATAGAGTATAAGTCATATTTTCTAATATTTCCTCCTACTTTGTTCAAGCTTACATTTTATGGTGGTTACATTCATTTTTTAAGTATAAACTAGAAATGTGAAAAAGTGTGAAAGCAGAAAGGCGAGAAGCCGCCCAAACGATGCAGACGAGTGAAAGACGTCACAGGCAGACGCTGAACTTTAACGTTTACATACAAATATTTTATCACTGTCTGAAGTTTATTAGACCAAACTTCACAATAATGAAAGATTTATTTAACATCTTCAGAAAGATTTCTGTCTCTTTAACCAACAAGGCGAAGCTCAGATGATGATGTCATGGCTTTGGAGACATCTGATAGGTTAACTGCCGTCTGTGACCTCAGATTGACCTCAGAGCAGAAGGCTGAAACTGTGAAGATGCTGCTGAAGCTGGTCAGACAGCTGGTCGTTTACCCACAGAGAAACGATGTGGACCGGACGGCCGCTCAGCGAGGAAGAATCCGTCACGCCAGGGGAATCGGAAAGATTTCAGTTTATCAACAGAAATGCATGTCTGGAGACTAATTTAATAATTAATTAGTTAATTGGACATCATCATTTCGCTACATCTGGAGGAAATGCTGGTACCGTCCTAACTGTGACGTATGAGCAGGATCACCAAAAATAATCAACATTTTTTTACTACTATTGAAGTAAATTTGCCAAGTCACCAAGTATTTTACTGAACTAGCAACATCATTTCTGTCTGTGTTTAACGAAGTGCTATGATTATTTATTTACAAAGCAGGATAAACAGCAGTGATGCCCTAAGACATCACTGTCTTTCACGTGTTTAATGTGAAAACTCTTAACCCGTCCCAGTTGTTGCTGTTTAACGGCAGAAAAGCTGCAGTTTTGTCTTGTTTTCACGATAAAACCAGCAGCTGTTTGTTTGAGCTGATCGGAGAATTCATGACGGACATCATGAGGAAGTGTGTGGCTCGTTGTTGTCAGGTTTCTGACCAGCATTTAAAAGGAAGATGGTTCCTTTTTGTGGCTCTGCACCTTATGAAATCTCCACGTCCCAGAATGCAACACCATCGCTTTTTCAGACCTCTCTTGTTGTGTGACAGCAGCTGACTTCTCACTCATTGTTAACTGGTGTTTTTGTTTTTTCTGGTGTCATTTCCCTTATTCCCTGTTTTCATTTCCTGTTCTGAAAGAACCAGAACTCATTGGGCTGCTGATCAGAGCAGCTAGCTCAGCTGGAGAGACCGAAGTCCTTTCAGAAACAGATTCTACTTCCTGGTTCCTGCAGGGCTGTGATGTTTAAACTGTCCTTATTAATAGAAATGTCTTCTTTCTTCTCAGGAGACAAACGAGCAGAAGCTGTTTAAGATCGCCAGCGAGCTGCTGCACACGGAGAAGGCGTACGTGGCCCGACTCAACCTGCTGGACCAGGTGAGGAACTCGCCCAAATCTCCGTCTCACTTCTGTTTTCAGTCGACAGAGAAAAAACGTTGTTGATCCCTAACCGCGTGCATGGCTGTGCAGGTGTTCTGCACCAGGATGATGGAGGAGGCAAATAAAGGCACTTTCCCTCTGGATGTGGTGAAGAACATCTTCTCCAACATCAGCTCCATCCACGCCTTCCACAGCCAGTTTCTGCTTCCTGATCTGGAGAAACGCATGGGGGAGTGGTAGGTTCCAGCTAAACGTGTAAAAACATGAAACCGTGAACAGACCTGGACACGCAAGAGGTCAGACAGGAACTGGGGCCTGAAATTTAAAATATTAATGCAATTAATCTAGCCTTTTTTCTTTTCTTTTTTCTTTTTTTACATCTTGGAACTTTCTCATTTGTGTGTTTCTGGTACAACTATTAACCTGACGCACAAGTTGCATCCTCCAACAGCAGCGATGGAAGCTGCTTCTCTCGGCCCGCAGGGGGTTCATTTCTGTTTCAAACAATCTGATTGGACGCTGGAAAAGATGCTTGTTGTGTTCAAGTCATGCTAAAAGGAGTTATTCTGTTAGAGAAACTATTTAAGACTAAAATAGCATCTCAATGCTAAACACGTAGCAGCTAATGCTAATGTTAGCGTCCACATTTGTAAAGAAGCTCCATGAAACTCTGAAAAGATGAACACATAGAAAAACACTTTGCTCCAGTCTGATGGTTGAAGAGCAGATCAAAAGTCATATCTTTGTTGTTGAGCTCATATATTTGATAATTTAGCAGTAAAAATGTTTTTTTAATTGAATATGTTGCTTACTTTGCCAATTAAAATGTGATTAACTAATTACAGACCCTGAAACAAACTCAATTAAAAATGTACTTGAGTTTTTGTCATAAACGGCCCCCGCTCCACATTGGACACCCTTGTTTTCAAAATGTGGTGGAGATATTAGTTTTTATGACGCCTGGACTTATTTATGTCTGTGAAGTGTGTAAAGGTGAAAATGTCTCCACCTGGTGGTCGGGGTGTGAATTATAATCTGTCAAAATGACAGGCGGATTTTTCTGTCACTGTTAAAAAACAAACATATATTTGATTATTCTGAGTGTGATCTGAAATTCAGCTTCACTCAGTAATAATATGAAAACGTCATTTTGCATAATTTTGGCAATTATCAGTTTAATTTAGGGGAAAAATGCTTTGGTTTTTGAAACTCTGGGTAGTTTTTGTTGTGTTCTCCTGAATGATGTCAGATAATCTGATCCTTCTTGCTGCGCTGCAGGGCGTCCACACCGCGGATCGGCGACATCCTGCAGAAACTCACCCCCTTCCTCAAAATGTACGCCGAGTACGTGAAGAACTTCGACAAGGCCATGGAGCTGCTGAAGCAGTGGACCGACCGCTCGCCGCCGTTCAAGGCCATCATTCAGGAGATTCAGGTAAACCTGCGCCGCTCCGCTCTGGGCGCAAACGTTTCTGACTGACGTTAAGAAGCTTCCTGTTGGTTTGTGGACAGAGTCAGGAGATCTGCGGCAGCCTGACGCTGCAGCATCACATGTTGGAGCCGGTGCAGAGAGTTCCCCGATACGAGATGCTGCTGAAGGACTACCTGAAGAAGCTTCCTCAGAACGACCCGGACCGCAGCGACGCAGAAAGTACGTTAAAATCCACATTTATCAGCTGGAATCTTCTCGAGTGAACAAACATTCAAACCCGATCAGCAGAACTTCAGACTTTCTGATCGTGTTTCTACGTTTTTCTGTTGAATTCTTTATTCACTTTCAGAGGATTTTTTTAAGCAAGGGTTGCATTTTATCTGCACTCCCATTGAAAATCATAGTTCTAAGTTTTAAAGTCATTTATAAGATGGAAAGTCTTAATTGCAAGTTTTAAAGTCAATATTTAAACTTTCAAAGTCATCAGATAGTCACAATTTCAAGAATAAGGTTTTTTTCTAAATGTTTTCAATCTCAGATTTTTCATTTTTTTGTCATAATTTTGATTTTTTTTCAAGACTTTAATCAAAAGTCAGAAGTCTTTCTTTTTGGTGGCTCTAATTGTCTTCCGTAGGTGATCTGGTGTCGCAGCTGATTGGTTCTTTGCAGAAACGCCAACACTGGGCCGATATTAACAACAGACATTTCTTCCACCTTGTTGTCGTTTATGAATGTGTTTCTGAAGACGGAGGAAATATTGAAATGTGTACATTATTTTCCAGAATCATTAGAAATCATCGCCACAGCAGCCACCCACTCCAACAGCGCCATTAGGAAATCTGTAAGTAGCGGAGCAGATTTCCTGCCTCTGCAGGTAGAAAATCTGTCCAGTTTGGAGCGAAAGCAAACTTCCTGTAACTGTTCAGGAAAACCTGAAGAAGCTGATGGAGATTTACGAGATGCTGGGAGAAGAGGAGGACATCGTTCATCCGTCCAACGAATTCATCAAGGAGGGCCACATCATGAAGCTGGCAGCCAGGAACACCTCCACCATGGACAGATACCTGTTCCTGGTGAGGAAACACACACACACACACACACACACACACACACACACACACACACACACACACACACACAAAGATATAAAAACCTGGTGCACACACACACACTAAGGGTACAGCAGGAAAATATTCAGGAAAGTAAATAATTTCATGCTAGCCAGTCCTTTCTGTGAAGAAATGTGTGGAAAACCTGGAGATATTTTCCTGTTATTGATATGAAGCAGTTATTAGCAAAACAATAAGTGGAAACGTTGGACCTGTGCTTTGTGCCTCCAGTTCAACAACATGCTGTTGTACTGCGTGCCTAAGTTCAGCCTGGGCGGAACCAAATACACGGTGCGGACCCGGATCGGGATCGACGGCATGAAGGTTCGGGAAACGAGCAACGAGGATCATCCTCACACCTTCCAGGTGTCGGGCAAAGAACGGACGCTGGAGCTCCAGGCCAGGTGAGCGAAACGGTTCAGCTCCTCACACCGGGTAATTAAAATATTAGTGAAAAGTCTGGAAACTTATCACTATATAGATGAATCCGGCCTTTTTTTCTGTGAAAAGGTGACATTTCAAATTAGAGCATTACATCAGACCAGTAAAGAAAAACTTTTTCTAGTACAATGTGGGTTTAATGTTTAAAGGTTGTTACTTTTACACATTTTTAGAGAGGCCATGAAATTCTCATGGTGTAATTACCTTTTAGCAAAAACACCTCATGGTATTTACGTAATAATAACGATAATTAATGCAAACTGTGGAAATGCACAAAGTTATCTTGTTGCTTTTGTTTAAAACCAAAAGCAACATTTATTCCTACTGCTGGTAAAATAGTTACTTAATGTTATTTTAACATTAAAGCATAAAATTTTGCCATTCTAAGTGCTTTTTGCTCAGAATATTGTAGAATTTGTTTTTAAGATTCAATAGTTTATTGTCATTGTCAAAAAAAAGGCAATGAAATTGTGTTTGGAGTTCAACACTCAGTAGCAGCAGATTTCCAAGTAAAGTGCAAAGAAGAAGTAAAAGTGGCACCAGAGCTTTCACACACACAGAGAATAACAGAGTATGAAAATATGTTGTCATGTAGAGGGCCAGGAATTTAACTTTTCGAATACACAGACATATATTTTATATATCCATAATTTACTTTGACATTGCTTAAACCAGTCTATCCAGAACTTTGTAATTGTAAATTTTGTGGTTTTCTGTAGAAATGTGTTTTTATTTTTTTAAGCTGCTTCCAAAATCTAAATATACAATAAAACAGATAAGACAAAAATAACAAGAAAACAAGTTGGACAAACTTTTTTAAGAAACTTGAATAGTTGCATTTTTTAATCACTACTTTAACTTGACACCAAATCAATGTAACAGCAGTAAGAAATACTGCCACCTACAGGTAGGAGTCAGCATCACTGAAGTGCAATGTGTTTGCAATAAACTCTCAACTAGATAATTAAAATTTTTTGAATTTCAGTGAAAAACTGTTTGTCTCTTCTGCCTTTTCATCTTTTTCTTTCAAAGTTTCTGTCTTTCCTTCTTTCCTGGTTCGCTTTTTTTTAGCTCAAGATATTTGAACATTGTGAAAATGTCTTATATATGCCATAAATTACTGAGTTTTTAATATTAAAATGAATAAAGTTGACTGTGGACAGCATATAGGAGCCATGAAAATGTTTAAAGTAAAACGAAGCTTTAGTTTGACGTTTTCTGTCCTGATTTCTTCCCCTCAGCTCAGAGCAAGACAAGGCAGGATGGATCAAGGTACAGACACACCTCTCTTTATTTTTTCACAACTTTTTAAAAACTCGTGTTTGATTTGTTGTTTTATCACTCAGGCTTTCCAGGAGACCATAGACATCTTCCAGCAGAAGAACGAGACATTCAAGAACGCTCTGAAGGACGTGGAGGAAGTTTCGGTTAGCGCAGCGTTGGAAGCATTCTCAGAGGAACTGACGCCATGTTGTGTTTTTATCTTTGGGTTGTCATGCTGACTGCTTTGTTTTGCAGAAAGCTGAGCTGGGGAAGCGGGCTCCGCGCTGGATTCGTGACAATGAAGTGACGATGTGCATGAAGTGCAGGGAGCCTTTCAACGCCATCACACGGCGGCGGCATCACTGCAGAGCCTGCGGATATGTAAGCTCAACTGTTAAAGGGGAAACGTTTAATTAAAGGACATGATAAACGTCACAGTTTCACTTCCAGTTAGCAATATTTTTAACAGAGGCTTTGTTGTTCTTCCCGCTGATCGTCAAGATGAGATGAAAAAGTTTTCAGTTGAGATGTGGCTCAGAGTTAAATGAGGTGTTTAGATTCTGGCTTACAGGCGATTAAAAACCCCAAGTTCAGTTCTTCAGAACTAGAAACAAAAAAGGACTTTTAAGGCAGAAATGTGGGCCTAATAAACGGTTCTGGACAGTTTCTGCTTTCTGCAGCAGTGGAGTGGATTCCAAAATAAATCATTTATTTTCATTTTAGTAAATTATTAGTTGAGTATACACAGTCGTGCATAAAATAAAAACATCAACAAACGCTTCCCTCCTCCTGCTATTTTTTCTTCTTCTTCATTCCATTTCAAACAATCAACATTTTAACAAAGAATATTCAGCAAAACAAAGGTTTTGGACTTATCCAGTCCTGTCCTTGAGTTACCTTTAGATTCTGAATCAAAATGCTAATTAAATGGATACGTTACATCATAAGTAATCAGTTTGTGACTGTAAACTGTAATGATTAGAGCCGTTTTGAGATCCGGTCTGTTCTTCCAGGTGGTTTGCTGGAAATGCTCAGACAACAAGGTACACCTCGAATACGACAACTACAAGATGAACAAAGTCTGCAAAGACTGCTACTCCATCCTGACTGGGGAAGGGGTCACCGAGGGCCGAAGGAAGGGCATCCTGGAGGTAAGGATGGACCCGACTGGTTCTGATGTGGTTCGGTGGGATTACCTTCAGCTGTTTGGCCTCCTGTGTGCAGATCGAGGCGGCTCAGTTCACAGACAGCAGCATCATGTGTGGCTTCCTGCAGCACTCTGAGAAAGGAGGCAAGCTGTGGCAGCGGGTCTGGTGTGTGATCCCAGAGAAAGAGTGTCTGGTGCTCTACCTCTACGGAGCTCCACAGGTGACAAAAACACAGTAGTTCCATTAACCATACAATTAACAATAAAGTTTTATTTCAGCAACAAGGCCGTTCAAAGTGTTTACAAAATAAACACAAGAGTAAGAAAACAATTGAGAAACCAAACATCAAAATCATCAATACACATTAAATATGTTTGATTCAATATGGTTCAGAAGCAGCTCTGACCCGGTGGGGTTTAGTCTGGATTTAAACTCAGTGTTTCAGCTGTTTTTCAGTTTCTAGAAGTTTGCTCTAGATCTGTGGTGCATAGAAGCTGAATGCTGCTTCTCCATGTTTGGTTCAGGTTCTGCTACAGAGAACCAGAACCAAACCAGGTTCTGGTTTGGTTCACCAGGAGACCGGAGAGGTTCTGGAAGGTCGATACAACGGCAGATTTTTAATGTATTTTGTTGCTTTTTACATCTGATGTTTTACTGACTTATCCCATGAACAAACTTATTCACCTGTGATTTTATTTTTATTTAATGGAAACACAATTGCAAAATTGTGTTTTTTCGACATTAGGAAAGTATAGACAAACTTTGTGCACATTTGTAAAGAAAAAGCAGTTAATATCATAAGTAAAGCATTTTATTAAATTATTTTGGGCAAATTCAGCTTTGAAGACAAAGACATTTTGTTCTCACTGATTCATCAGCTCAATCAGATGAAGTCAGTTATTAGTCAAGCATAAGCAGTTTTGCATAAAATAGCATTTTTTCTCTGTGGATGACATCGTCTTTGTGGCGTTTCCTGCAGGATGTGAAGGCCCTGTGCACCATCCCGCTGCTGGGCTACACGGTGGAGGACGCAGACACGCCGGCCAGCTTCCGCCTGTCCCAGTCCAAGTTTGTCCACACCTTTGCTGCTGAGAGCGAGGAGCTGAAGCAGCGCTGGCTGAAGGTCATCCGAGCAGCGGTGACCGGAGAGGTGCCGGCGCGGCCCGAAACCAACGGCGGCGAGAACGACAACGCGCAGGAAGCTAATCCTGACGACCACTAGGAGGGTCGTCCGCTCACTCTGCCTGCTGCGGCACTTTCCTCCGCGTCCGACCCGCTGCCGGACTGTCCAGGACCCAAAGACGTTCTCTGTCCTCCTAGACGCAGCGGGACGACGGGATAAGCTGCCGTCTCCAGGGTTTTCTCCTGCTATGTGTGCTGGATTACTAATGTTTCTGGTACAATCAACACTAGAGCAGGGGGGCTTCGAGACGCACCTTCTGCCCTCCAACGAGCACTATAAAGGAAAATTCAAACTCAGTCTTTCAGGAGGCGTCCGGGATGGGACTCAAACTACGTCTGCTGGTGCTGTAAATCTTTCTGTACAGAACGCTTTTTTATACATAAAAAAACAAACTTTTTTTCATTTATGTACAGAAATTCAGTCTCAAGCTTTTCTGCTATGAAAAGGAGGAAGATCTAAACGTTATTGAAAATATTCAGTTTCCCTCTGATTGGAGGAGACGGTTTTAAAACGAAGAACAAGATTCTCTCATCTCTTTACTCAATCTGCTAAAATGAGAGACAAACATAAAAATTTAGTGACGCAGATTAAAAACTATATTTATTACATATTATTTGAAGCATGGTAAACCTGTGCTTTAAATAATTAAACCTTCATTAGTAAAGCAAATGGGATTCTTTTTTGTTAAAATCTTGTCTTCACGTTAAACATGTAATCACATTGTATTTATTTAAAAATCCAAGTGAAAAAATGTTGATAAACATTTCTGCTGTGTTTTTTTACTGCAAAATCTCCCATTTTTATATTACTACTTAAGTTTAATGAGGTGTATCTTAAAATAAGAAAGTAAAACATCATCAGGTTGACACTAGACAGGGTTTTTCAGCCAAGATTCTCGATTCAAAAATATTTCTTGGTGTTAAATTATGGAATAAAAATACATGAGCTATACAGCAAAGATATTTATTGTTATTAATCTGTTCAACCATCAGATTGGGTTTTCTTTGCATCTGTGCTGCTACTACGTGTTTAGCATTGAGATGCTATTTTAGGCTAGCATAGCTTAGCTGACAGGCTAACTGCTTTTAGCACAACTTGAACACAACAATAGCATTTTGTCCAATCAGATCAGTTTAGAAGTCGAAATTAACTGAGAGCAGCGGCTTTGTTCTCTAGCGCTGTTGTTTTGCGCATATAGTTTTGCGGACGTTGCTTGTGCGTCAGATTTACGGGCGTACCAGAAACATGTTCCGCTCGGAACATTTGTATGTAAAAAAAAATTTAAGTGGTTAATTACGTTAAAATATTAACACAACAATATATATAATCAATCAATTGAAATGAACGCGTTAAAGTCCCGGCTCCATGTTAAACATAAGTTTGAATACAAAAGTGAAGGCCTAATGATGCCGCTGCTGTAAACAAACCACATAAAATGCATAACTTTTAACATAATCAACATTTTTTTGCTCACTTACTTTAATGCTAATGTTTATTTAAAGACTTATTAACTTTGAAACTAATACCGTAAAATATCAACTCTTAGGACCCCGACAGTGAAGACCTCTGCAGATCACGTCATTTTTCCTGTTTGTCTCTCCGATTCAGATTTAGCAGCTTTAGCAGACTTTCAAGTTTGACCGGATATGACGCAACGTCTGCGGAAATTAATATCTTAATGGCAGGAAATAACAGTCTTTTAGGGAAATAATCAGGTTTATTAAACGTATTTGAAATTTATGTTGCCGTTTGTATCGAATTAGCTATTTAGTATTTTAACCATGGCTAGAGGGAGAGAAGTGGTTTGTCTTAACGTTTTGGTGTGATGATGGAGAAGCAGCACAATCAGACAGCCAGCCGATGAAACAAGTGTAAATGTGTTTTTACTGCTGTAATTATTTTTTATTTAAAGTAATTTATAGAGTATGATGAACTGTTGAATGCAGCACAAACTCGTTCCTTTGCAGTCAGCTGAGGAATGCAACCGACCGGTCAAATGGCCGCCAACATTGACTTTGAGGGGAAATGTGCCGATTTTTTATTTTTGCTCATCTCTGAACCGTTCCCCTCCGCAGTATTCAAATAAAGCAAAAACAATTGAGCACAAGTCCTGTGTTGAATCTGAATGTAAATCTATCCTTCTGTCTTCATCGCCTTCCCAACCGTTTGAGAATCTACGCACTTTACACCCTGAACGAAAACAAAAGTGTACCTGCAAGGACAATAAAGACGCCCAGTGTCTGTGCTGATCTTGTATTATTTAAAACGCATTTCTGGCTTGTTTAGTTTGTCAAGCTGCTTCACACGGTTTTGGTTCCCCGTTTTGCTTCCCCTGTGGGGTTTTCACAGTGACTCAACCCAGACGAGGATCTGAGTGAAGTTGCCCCCCCACCTTCAAATCAGACAAAAATGGGCAAATGTTTATGCCGCCATCATTGTAAAGATATTAAATGTTTCCAGAGGGGATGCTGTGGTGATGCTGTGGTGGTGCAGGAGCACAGCATGACCCACATATTGAGGCCCTAGTCCTCATGGTGGTGGTCACAGGTTCAATTCCCGTCCTGTCAACATTTGCCACATGTCTTCCCTCTCTGATTGCCCTCTTTCCTCTTGAACTACTTTCAAATAAAGGCCTCTAGAGTCAACAAAACCTAAATAAAATAAAAAAATCCTTCCAGGGGTCATGAGGTCAACCAGCCTTCCCTCACCTTCTTCAAATAGAGAAAATTGATGTCAACGTGACTCATTTGGCTTTGAAGATATGAATGAAATTTGAAAGATCATTTTGATTTTGTAAAAGTGGTGGGGACGGGGGCTGGTTGACCTTTTGACCTTTAAACTTTCATTGATATCTTCAAAGTCAAAGCAGCACAAACAAAAGTTTTGCTGCACAAACTTAGTCGAGTTGATTGACACCAATTTTGTGATTTCATTTTCCAGGAGAACTAAGCTACAGTAAAAATTTATTTTTCTTTTCATGTTCTAGTTTTAAGTGTAATAAAAACATTTTACATATTTAGAAAATATTTATTTTCAGAAAAGAAAAACATTGACAAACCAGAAGAATATCAAAATTCTTAGTAGAAATATAGGTGCGTTCTTCAAACAAACAATCGTCGACATTATTAGAATCGTGACAAAGCGACGCCGCATCAGAAGCATCGGGTCAGTCTTTTGCGCCGGAGCGCTCAGCTCTTGGGCTGCCGCAGCAAACCGCGGATCCTGCGGACCAGCGCCTGGATGAAGGTGTAGCGGGAGCGGACCTGGCTGTATTGACCTTCGACCTCCAGCAGCTTCCTCTGCAGAGCCTCGCCGAAGCCTGCAGCCATATCACCTTTCAGCTGCAGCACAGAGAAAAACGGAGTCATGAGCATGTTATCGTATCGTTTATCGTTTATCATGATACATTTATAAGAATTTTTATACTTTGTTGTCACAGTAAATTCTAATAAATGTTCAAAACCCCCAAAACTGTATTTATGGTCCGAAATGGTAGTTTTAGAATTTTCTCCAGTTTGTTTGGCAATAAATACAAATCAATTTGAAAACAATAAACATTAAAGCCTTTTACAAATGCAAATGTTTTTAACAGTTGCTCTTGTGGTTGTGGGGTTATAATTGCTGTGACGCACAGTCGCCTTTAAAAAGACCTAAAAATGATGCAATAAATAGTTCTTATTGTCAGTTGTTATTGCAGTCGTACAACAATATTTTATAATAAAACTTTAAGTACATATCACTTTCCTCCATCTTAGATTAGGTAAACTTTATTATCCTCAAGGGGAAATTTGCTTTGCACACAGCAAGAAAAATTGCAAATGCATAAAAATATAAAATAAAACAGCATTACAATAACAGTAATATGAAAGATCTAAATGTTTCCTACCAGGTCCAGATCTTGCTGGCTGACTCTGGACAGTCCGATTCCACGGCCGCCGCCAGCCTGCAGCGCGCCAAGCGAATCTGAAAAACAGACGAGATGCAGAAATCTCTGAGTGCAAACAGAACAACAAGGCTTTATTAAAGCGTCTATTAAATCATAGATGTTTTAACACACAACCAAAAAAATCTGGAGTTGAAACCTTCATTTTTCTAGAACATTTCAAAACCGTCAAACAGACTATAAAACAAAACAGAACAACCATCATGTTGCCGTCTCACCGTCCGCCAGCCGGGTTCTGAACAAACTGCTTCCAGGCAGCAGGGAGTCTTTTGGGTCGCTGGGAGTGCAGTGCAGCAGGTAGTACTCCAGATGGCGCCACAACACAAACAAGCAGGTCTCAATAACATCTGAGGAAGAGGTGAGTTAAGGCAGTTCTACGCCAAAAGATTATGACCAGCTCTGTTTCTCTGACATCACCTGGTTGGTCTGCATGTCAGCATTTCACAGTGTGAAGCTTAAAATCATTCAGATTACATTACAATCCTCAATTTAAACTGCAACTAACTCACAATTGATAAACTGTCTAAATTGGTCTTTAAGGGAACCATCTTGGCCTGGCCACGCCCCTCAATGTATCTTGGCTCCGCCCACTTTGGTAGTGGGCGGAGCTAAACGTTCCTCTGTGAACAGAAGGATACAGGAGCACAAGGCCAGCAGTTTGGCTCTGTTGTTGATGAACTGGACCAGCCGCCGCCTGGCCAGCAGACTCCTCTGGACCGATGAGATCTTCTCCACGCCGCCCGGACCCGACACCAGGCCCTGGCACAGCTACACACAGCCGCACACACACAGTCGGCTACACAAGCTTTACTGAAAATATCATTTTAAAAGGCTACAAACATTTTTGGTGGCATCATAAACGTTCTGAAACATTTCTAGGAGCAAAATGAGACACTAAGTTTTGATTTACCTTTTCTATTTTTTGTGAAAAATCTCCATATCCCTGCATTTTTATCACACCAACTCATAACTGTGAGTTTATTGCAAATTTTCAGCAAAAATGAATTAATCACTTGAAATCCAGTTAAAGTCCAAAACCGACATAGTGAGTAAAAAAATGCATTAATAAAAAAGTAAACAGCCATTTAAATTCTCCAATCTGTGTCCGATCTGTCTGCTTGTTTCTCATGTAGATTTTGGAAGATGAACCAATATTGCAAATATCTATTAAGTAGCAACACAAATTGATTTTTCACACACAAAAAAGATTTCTTCCATTTTTATCCATTTTATAAACCTTAAATTATATTTTTGCCATAAATGACCTTCATTTCACCACCTTTTGTGACTGTTTTTAAACACTGCTCATGTTGGAGAAGTTTTCTGTTTCTGCTATGAAAGTACCGTCTATTAATGGCTGAATTTATAACCTTTAGTTCAAATGATAAATAGAGAATTCTAAGTTAAATTTCCCCTCTGGAATTAAATAATTGATATAAATAAGTTGACAAGGTTCCGGCGGAGAACAGGCTGACTGACGTTCCGGTTTCTGACAGGATGTGGTTTGAAACCTGGTGACCTGATGTAAGCTGGTAGATGCTGACCTCCTTCAGCTCCTCTGGAGGAAGCTGCTCCAGGCTCTGCAGCTTTCCCAGGCTCTGCCTGTGGCTCTGGTGGAACTGGAAGAAATCTGCAGCGCTGTTCTTCAGCAGGTACAGAACCAGACCCAGGCTGGGAATGCGCGAGTGAGCGACAGACGGCACGGAGGACGAGAGATCTGGAAAAAACAAGAATAAGAGCCTCTTTAAGCAAAATAAAGTGATTCAGGCACAAATTTTAAAAGTACAACACTGGAAGGAGTGAGTGGAGCGATGCGACCGACCTGAGCGCGCTCCGTCTCGGCCGGCCGGCTCGCTGCCCGACGGGCTGAACAGGCAGATGCTGAACTGGGCCTGGGAGGAGCTCTGCAGCAGCAGCGTCTGGCAGTACTCCATGATGTTAGCGCACACCTGCAGGACGGAGCAGACATGCGTCAGCAGCAATGGCCTCAGACCGGACAGGAGGCGGACTCTGCTTCAGGCGGTCAGACCTGCATCATGGCCGCCTCCATTTCCTCCCGTCGTTCGGCCGAGTCTCCGGGTGAAGAAACGTCCGCCTGCTTCAGCAGCCGCTCCCGTTCACTTCCTGCGAGGCGACCCAGCAGGGACAGGCACAGCCGCTGAAAACCAGACACCTGTTACTGTTTTTATTCAGGCTTCACAACTCAAGACTTTTATCAATGAAATTAGTTGCACAACATGCTGCTGTTAGCTTAGTGCTAACTGCAACAGCAGCAGCAACCGTTTCCTGGGGAACTTTAGCCACTCTGTGACATTTCTAGGTCTGTTTGAGGCTCTTTTCCATTTTATTTATGGTTTCTATAATGTGTGTTTTTATTTGAGTTTTACTTATTGTGTTTTAAAATATGTCTCAGTTTTAGAGTTCTTCACAAGATTAAATCTTATCAGTCTTTGAAAGAGTTAACTTGTGATGTCAGAGTCAATAAATTACTTAAAAATGATCTGAAAACAATAATAAATTCAGGGACAGAAAACCTGTCATTGTGTCAGGCCCAGTCACGCCGTATTTCACTTACATTTTTAAGATTAATTTAAAAGATTTTAATGATGCACAAACACCCTGCACACTGTTTAATGACAAAATTAAAAATAAGTATTAGCTGCAAAGTTGCCTTAATAGTTGATTCTGATTTTCAGCAGGTTTCTGAAATACTGAAACAAAACAACAATGAAACAATGTTTTCAGAGTTTGGTGGATTTTAAAATGCCTTTAATGGAAACATAAATGCTTCCAAGCACAGATTAGAAACTTTTAAAATTTATCTGCTTTGTTTGACATTTTTACAGCCAGTTTGTTTCAAATCAAACATTTTACCAGATTCATCCAGACCTGGAAATAATTTAATGTCTGTAGAAAGGAGGTAGAACCCCAGGAAGCTTCACTATTGACGTGATTCACCTGGAATCTGGTGATGTGACCCTGGAACTCCATCAGAGCGGCGCTGTTGATGTCTCCTCCCATCTCCAGGACGCCTAGCAGAACAGAAACCTGATTAAGACGCTGAATCAAAGGGAATACGCCACAGAAAAACAATGAAATGACAACAATGTAGTTAATAAAAAGATGCAACAAGTCTTTTCTGCTCTTGTTGAGGTTTTTTTTACCTGGCAGAGCGGTTTTACTGATGATGGCCGTGAGCAGAGAGAGTTCCTTCAGAGCTCCCAGACTCAGATCCTGACAGCGCAGCAAAGACTGAACCGTGTCTGCATGGACGATCAGCCACTGGAGGACCTGCACACACA